ATTATATATTTCAAAGAAGATTTATGGTAAAGCTGTAACAATTTGAAAAAAAAAAAAAAAAAAAAAAAAAAAAAAAAAAAAAAAAAAAACACCCTAAAAGTATGTGCTTTTAAAGATATTTACGAAGATAACACAAAATCCTCTTGACATTCTGCAATTAATTTCATCTAGTGATTTATCTTTACTAGCTTACCCGTTTTTCATTAAATACACCACACCACACCACTTGTGAGTGTTGCAAACGACGAAGATCATTTCACAAACTTAAATTTAATCAAGACTTACTTCTGCACGGTGTTCGTCGCAAGAAGGATTTGTGAAACTTGCATTATTAGCAGTTGAAAATTATGTATATAACGAATCAAGACATAAAGGACATAATTTTTCCTTTCATTCAATTAAATTGCAGAAAAATAAAAATTCAGACTTAAAAAAAAAATATTTTTTAATTAATTGCATTTGTATGCATAAATGTCTAATTAATTTTTAAATTATATATTTTTGACTGAAATACAATTTTAATTGCTTAAAATATGGTTTTATTGTTTTGTTTATTCTTCTAAATTCTCTTCTATCGTTGATAGGAATTTAAAATAAAAAAGCTGTCTTGAAGGACACCTTTCTTTTAAATTCGCAAGCAATCATCGAACATTCTATCGCCGGTCCTGCTTTCTAGGTATTCGATTCTGATCAGATACATAGGGTGCCCAGAATTAAAAAACTCTATTTCAAAGCTATTACAGGCGAAACCAGACATCAGATAATTGTGAAATTTTGTGGCGGACAGCAAAGGAATGTTTTTCACAGGAAGGAAAAATATATTACAGATTTCGCCACCAGAAGGCATTGTAGTATGAATAAATTAAACATTTAGCCACAACTTTTCAATAGTTTTGCAGTTTTACAATCTTTATCACAACATTATTTAAAATTAATTCTTCTTATTTCACTTATTTTTGACTACAAGATTTTCATTTAAACACAATAAATCTCTAATGCATAAATCTCTTTCATGAAACTTTCCGATTTTGAATACATCTGCCTAAAAGAAAACTGAAATTTAACGTTAATGCTTTCCAAAGACCAACGAGAAAAAAAAAGAAAATTAGAATAAGTGATTTTAAATGTGGATGGGAATCTGAACATTACTAAGAGTTATCAACCGAACCCTGTCAAACAAGTGATGCCGCGACAAGTCAACAAAATGACATGAAATCTTTGGTGCATTAATACTGAGTTAGTATCACTTGATTTCGTTGACTGAACACTTGACGTTGGACGAATCCTAGTGGTTTGTAATTAATACACAAGAGAGATATAAGTTAATACTGAAATCAAAGCCGCAAAAATTTAAGCAATAAAATTTCATAACCAGATGTTACTTCTCAAACACAACATACATGAAAACAAAAAGATATAACACTAGGTTTAAAGCATCCGTCAACTAAGACTTTCAAACTTCAGAGTTTTTATAATAGTTGTGCATTAGAATTAAACATTTTCAAAGCAATTTGGTCCCATCAGTGGTCAAGTCGTTAAGACCACAGAAAACAGGAAGTTCGACCTGGTTCGAACATACGTGAATGGGCTGTCTGTATACTTGATTTTCGTGGTTTTACCCATGTCAGTCCCTTTCCCATTGAAAGTTCTCTGCGAAGGCATCTCTTATGCAGAGAGCTCTTAATCCCCTATGTCATACTGGAAAAATCTAACATAACCTTCAAAGTAATTTTCCATGTTCATTTGTTGATAACTTGCCAAAATACATGTGATACGTGTTTATATATGCACAGTTAAAAGCTACTAATTAAAAGATATAACAAATTACAATAGCGTTGATATAACATAGATCCTAGCTTTAAAAACCTGGCAGTTAGAAATTAGAATTGATCTTAGAATTCATGCAATGTAACCGCCATAAACTTCTTAAGAGCCCATGTAACATAAGAAGAACACATATGACGAAAATATAAACAAAATTATATGTTGACGAACCACAGATATATTTTAATGAGTCATGAAAATTCTACTTCGGGCGGTAAATTTTTATATGCAACGGATGTTTACACGTTAAGAACAATTTCGATAGAGAATTAAAAAAATATTCTGAAATAAAAATTTCGGACACCAGCTTTTTTTTACTGCTTTTAAATTTGTTCCTCTTTCAAAATGTCACATGAAAACAGGATGTGGATTGAAGATGTTTTTGCGCTTTACGAAAAGAAATATTCCTATTCCCTATTTCAAAAACGTTGTGAAACGCATGATATTAAAATTTCGAAGTGCAATAAGCAACTTTGTTAATCAGAAAGGGAATACTATCAGTCATTACTTCTACATGGAACGAAGACTCCAAACAAATATCCGGAAAAGATACGTACTGTTTCTAATGTTTTTAAAGTTAAATCATTGGTAGCAAGAGAAAATCCGCCGTAGCAGAAACCATTTGCAAAGGCTTTAAGGGGACTCATACACCTTAAAATCCATAAGATGTTCGAATAGGTGACTGTTGCAAGAATTCGGATAACTTATTTATTTTAAAAGCAATTACTTCCAACTTTTTACAGCTGACAATATAATATTGCTGCTTTCTTAAATAGTAATCAGAAAGTTTGTGTTGCCACAAATATTTTCCTAATTTAATCCGCTTTGTGACGACATTTTTCGTTATGTTTCCAACTTGCGCGCACAGTTTAAAACATTCTGTTTCATAATTTAATTCCATATTTAATACATAGCTTTTATAACATATGGAAATTACTGTGAACCTAAAATTCTAAAAATTTCATGTGAAATTTTTATTTTATTTTGAGTTGAGTTTATAAAATGTATTTTATTAAAAAAAATTTTAATGTTTTCGCCCATAAAATTTTTCAATATTAAAATAGTCATCAGATTGCTGGTTCAGTTAGAAAATAGTGCCCATATAAAGAATTCCATCAAATTTCAAGTATGTACCATTAGCCATTTTTAAAATATCATGCGCGCAAGGCGGAAATATGCGAAATATTTTGTCACAAAGAGGATTAAATTACAAAACTATTTGTGGCAACACAACTTTCTGTTACTAGGCCAAAGGTAGCTATATCATGAAGTCAGCTGTAAAAAGTTGGAAGTAATTGCTTTTAAAATAAATAAAATATTCCTATTCCTGCAATAGTCACATATTCGAAGATCAAGAGGGGTTTAAGGTGTATGAGTCCCCTTAAACACATCTGTAGCAACAATAAATAAAACCTTAAACCAATATTTTAGAATCCTGCATGAAAATTATTTAGCAGGAGATAAATGAAAATACATCGGGATCTTTGATGAAGCATGGATTTACCTAAATGACTGCAACCAAAAAATGATATATTTACTATCGAAAACGAAAAAGAAGTGCAGAAACCTGGTTCCGTCAGTGCAAAGAAAGTTTCAGTAAGGGGCTTATGATTGTTGCAGAATTTTCTTACAATGGGAGGTTAAAAATAAAAAGAGTGGGAAAAAGTGTTAATATCAACTCAACATACTAAAAAAAAAAAAAAGTTTTACGCCTGATATTTGCAGAAGAAATTCCATTTCTTTATCCCAATGACTTTCAAAGAGCGAAACTTTATTAAGACCAAGCAACAAGTCATACTTCGAAAAATACCACTGCATTCCTTGCAAAAATGAAGATTGATACAGATATTGCATATATATCTTTTCAGCATACTTCTGCAAAGTCCTGTGACGTTTCACCTGTGGACTCTTGTGCCTTTGGTCTTTTGAAAAACGTTCTTTGCAAGCGAGAACCCACCACGATTGATGGACTTTGGAAAGTAGTAGAAGATTAATAAAAATTAATACCCCTGGAAATTTTACGAAAGGATCTTCTATCATCGAAATCCCGATGCAGACCCATAGCTAAAAAATGGCTATCCGATCGAATGTTTACAAAAATACTCATTACATTTTAAGCGTTAATTAAATGGCCCCGAAATCGTTCTAAAAATGTGTAAACGTCCGCTGTAAATGATTACTAAAGTTATTTTATTCCAAGAATAAGGAAAAGTTTATATGACGTATTCTCTTAACACTAAGTTTATCCTTTTTATTACCTATATTTAGTAGCTAGAAGCTTTAGCTATATCCTAATAAATATACGTAAATCTCCATTATATCCATAATATGTACATCAGACATTCAAAATAACTTTTAAATGCAACTGATATTTCCATGGAATTTTTTCCCTACTACCGTTGATATTACGAAAACAAATTACGCGTCAAAAAGACCAATTATGGTTAAGAACCACTGCTTTTAGATCATTTATGACACGAATTCTCGTAACTCATCCTAAACAGCAGATTGATAAGATAATTTACATGCTTGAAAATTTCGTGACGACCCATACGATGGCCTGCTATGTTTGCCTATAATGGTTTTTTTCAACGTTTGCAAATTGAGAACGTTATTTAGTTACTTAAATTAAAACATTTAATTATTTCAAAATTGTGAAATATATTTTACATAATATAAATTATAGTCCCTGAAATTACCTTTTAGCAATATAATAGCATAGTTCTAAATAAACAAAGTTGTTTTATTCTAGCTATTAGTATTACTAAATCTACTCCATTTATTACACTACTTTAACTATTATCTAAAAAGTTAGAAAATTTCGGGACTTAATAAAAATAATATTCTTTAAAATCTGTCTGTTTTAGTTATTACTGTATGTATCTCATATCTCTTCCATGCGATTTTGTGTGAAAATAGTTTAATTTAAAATTGTTTACCTCATAACATTCGATAAACTTTCTACATCTATTTTTTTTTTTAAATATCGCTCAAGAGTAAATGAATAAATAAAAAAGATTTTAAAAAATTATTCCTCCGAATTAAAAAATAATGCTTAAATTCTGGACAGCGCTCCGTTCAAAACAAAATTTGCATCTGGCATATTGGTAGATGTAAAACAGCCGAGAGCTAAAGTATATATATTATAGGATTGTCCACTCTTTCTCTTCTTCGTTTTAGTACGCAGGCCGTTTCGTTGCAGGGTTAAATCAGTGTTATCAGCATGAAGTCTTATTCGCTTGACAATGCTCCTAGTAATGCCTGTTATAATGATGCTATTTGTTACCCATTTAAAATTTTGCCGCCAAAACGATTTGTAAGCCGATATTTTCCGGTCGCCGACCAGAAACGCCTCAAGTTGCCGGTACCTATGGGAGATAAATTGCAGAGGTAGGTTTATATATTGATTACTGTTATCTGTTCGCTAGCTATGGGTATAATTTATTCACTCCTTTAACTATATGCCGAATGCCATTTCTTTTCAGGTCGTTATAGTACGAGCGCACATTTAAAATATAAAATCTGAATGCTCTGAATACTTGTTTACGATTTTCATTGGTATTTTATCGAATTTATCGAAGTTTTCGATTTGTTATTGGAAATTTCCCCTTGGACTATCCTAATACTTAAATCTTGAGTATGGCAAAGTAAAAGAATGAGCATTTAAAATGTTTGATACAATTTAGCCAGAAAATGATCTACTCTGCACGTCATTTTCGGATCATGCATGCAGTTTTTCTCTGCCGGGTAGGTTAACCTTTAAATAATGTGGTTCGCGTCCTGGACGCCCGAGTGTTGATTTCACATAATGATTTTGTATGCGAAAGAAATAACTTATTTAATGTGTCTTCATTGTTTTCGGTGAAATACTGGCTTCACATTACATTAGAATTATTAACAATTTGATTATATATTTGAAAAATATTTACGAAAATGCGATTTTTATTTATGGATATGTAGGACCTGATTCCGCCAATAACTCAAGGTTTTCATTGAATTGATAAATGATTTGGATTATAACTCGCTTAAATTTTCCCAGTGATGCATGATGTGGCAACGAAATTAAATATAACCTCAAGCCTATGTTACAGCAATGAATTCGATTTTTCTTTTAAAAATTTAAAACTGCAAGTTTTCCCTTAAAACAAATAAGATTTCGAATAAAAATAACTTGTTGAAATGGAAGACGATTTAGGAAATCGTATTAATTTCTTCGAGGTGAAATTCGTTGAATTATGTTCAAGTTAACGTTTCCTTTCATATTGTGAAGCAAGTTAAATTAAGGTGCTTAAATTTGTTAAAAATATGCAAATAACAAGTAAATTATTTTCAGTTTATTGGCCTAACGTTACTTTAAAATAACGAAACCTATTTCCTGAACACTCTAGGCTGGTGCTTGTGAACAAGATTTTCGTTCAAAATAAAACAGGAGATGAAACATGCTTCGAAAAATGGAAGGGACGGAGGCTTTCGCACCCTTTCGATGCAACTGCGTGAAAACTAGACATGAAACAGAATTTTATTTTCTCAATTAGAGTTCTGGAAACTCGTCATACTTCTAATATTTTTTAAGTCTACTTTCAAAGAAAATATTTAAAATCGGCAAATCTCTATTATACCCTTCGTTTGCTGAAAAGAAAGTGGCTATAAACACCGAACGTGTGTTAATTTGTTGTCCCGATTAATGTTTGACACAAAATGCCTCTGCTACGAATTTTCATTTTTTGGTTAGCTTAATGTTTTAAAATGCATGCATAGGAATTTGTACACAAATCCAGATAAATAGCTTGAACAACTATAAGTCGAATCCAAAAGTTGGTCATCGTAAACCGGAGCATTAAAACCGCTGGACACTGGTAGTTCGACCTCGCCTTAACTATCAGTAAATGGGCTTACGACCTAGCGTTTTCCTAGCTTTCCCTATGTGTAACGTGAATCGGAACTAGTTCCACCAAGGCGTCTTTTTCTTGGGTAGATAGCCATTGAATGCTTTACTTTAATCTACATTATTCTAATTCCTGGAAATTTCTAATAGCTGTGGTAGCAACTTTATTTAATTTCTAATGATACATTCTGCTGTTAAAAGTACAGAAATACTTAATTATTTAAAGAGTAAAAATTCATGGTAATGTAAATTAATCGTAATAGTTTAGTAACAATCAACTCATTGAATTCAGATCAAGCTATTTTGACTAAACACAAGAGAAACCATAGACTTGCGCTTTTATCCTCTACAATTCCATGTTGAAAACTTCTCATTTCCCTTCGCTGACTGAAAATTCCAAATAAACGAATAAATGCAAATTATAGATCAGCGAGTCTTCAGAATATTTAACATGAACTGCTGTAAATTCTTCATATTTTCCCATTGAATATGCAATTATTGGTGTAAAATTGCCACTCGACAGCAGGGAATAAAAAATAAGTAACGAATCGATTCTGAACTAATGCAGTATTTCGAATTCTTTTATAAATAAGGCACTCTTGATGGGATTCTTAGTCGAACTCTATTGCGCCTTTGATGTTCTGCACAAAAGCATACCTTTCACATGTAGCCAAGTGTTGCGGTTTTGTCGCACGTACCTAATTTATCCCTACTTTTACGGAATCAGTGTCCGCTCAACACTAGTAGTTCGGCCCTGGTTCATATCTCAACGAACGCGCTGTCTGCATGAGTTTCGTGTTTTCTCTTTGTATAATGTAAATACGAACAATTTTCTCTAAAGTTTCCACTAAGGCATTCCTTCAATTGGCGCTCGCTTTCTTTGTCTTGATGCAAACCGAATCCAAGATATCTGCATTACGGAATATGTGTTTGATACCACATGCTCCGTATTGCAGATCTACTAGTTCATATCTTTAAGTAGGCCACTAGCGGCCGAGTGGTAAAGTCTCTGAACACTGGTTGTTTGGCTCGAGGTTCGATTTCCGCGAATGGGCTGGCTGTATGGGCGTTTTCGTGGTTTTCCTATTTGTAACATGTATACGAGCCAGTTTTTTAAGTCCTCCTCCCTTCTATGTAGTGCCTAGGAACGGAGCATTTAAGTAATAAAAAAACTTTTTAGTTACTGCAAGACAGCTATTTTTACTTAAATTCTTCAGAATTAGCTTTGCTTTTTAACTTTGAATAACATAATGTTGGTATCTAACGAGATATTGAACAATATTTATATTACAATGAAAAGCAAAATAGTTACTGAAAATGCAATTGATAGTGCTAAAACGTATCCCTTCGTCTAAACAGTCTAAATTTTAGCGAAATATCGGCAAGATTCGGGATGTAAGTTGATTTTATTCTACCCAGAAAGTCTCCGGACAAAACCCAGGCAAGGTTCATACATGAAATTGAAAATGATTCGAAGCATGTTATTGTACCGTGTGCTGCAAAAAACTACTTTACGTGGAAAATTGCTAAAGTGTACCACTTGTTCAATTTAAATGAAATCTGACTTTCTCGCATGCAAATTTACATTACTATTGCATTTTCAAAAATCTGAATTCTTCTATTACTTCATCCATATACATAATATATATATGATCACAATACTGAAACAATTCTTTATCTGCTGTATAAGCAAACGAGTTTTATGTACTATTTTGCTTAAATTTTCTCCAAACTGACACTCTAGGTATGGCTCCGCTCTATTGACAGGCCAAAATGCAAAATAATTTGTTTAAACTACGTGTTAATTCGTGCTGCGCGTGAGCGGTGATGATCCGCAAGAGTATTAATTACCTTGCCAGATTCGTACCATAGGAATGCATTCATAGCTGGTAGCGAATATTTAATAGTGAGATCAGTATTGAACTTTCTGGTGAACACGTGCTTCAGAGAACGAGAAAAGTTATAAAATACTTTGTTCAGCACCTTTTCGAAATTAACGCGAAAGGATTCAAATCGAAGGGATTTCAGAGCTATGACTTGTTAACGCTCCATACAATAGCTGTGTTGACAAATTCCACTTTTTATTGAGCATCGCACAAAAGTTTTTGCAACTGGTTTAAAGAATTCCATCGTGGGCACATGAATCTGATTAATTTTGGGAACGTCAATCAAGAACTTTTACGATGAGAGAAACCTTATTGAATTGTTGAATATTATTGATGACGCAAAAATAAATTTTCAAACATTTTTATTAACTTTTACGTCTTGATCAAAAAAACTACCAGGGCCCGAGTGATTAAAAACCGCTGAATACTGGTAGTTCATCCTTCGTTCAAACCTAGGCGAGCGGGTTGGCTGCGTCTTGCACTTTGCTCCCCATGTGTAACGCCAAGGGATTGTTTGCCTTTCCTCCGGGAAGGCCTTTCTTCTTTTGGGAGATAACCCTGATGTGCTTTGTCATATTCAAACAGCCTAATCACCCTAGTTGTGGCCGCCGTATTTAGGGGGAGCTGAAGGGGCTGCAGCCCCCTCGGTTTCAGTTCATAGAATAAAATTACAAAAAATGGTTTTAGGTAAGTTACGTCTTCCCTCCTCGAAATTAAATCCTAGCTACAGTACTAACCCCTATTTAAAACGAAATTACAACTCTTACAATACTGGAAATCAACGCCAGTTTACAGGCTTTCAAGTACTTAGTACGAGTTTGAATTTCGCGAATTTAGCCTAGAGGGCAAGTAAAAATACCTTATTGTCGACTCGCAAAGCTGCACTTTCGATGAGTCTTAAAACTTTTGCTTTCGGTGAGCAAAGCATTTGAAAGAAGCTACTTAAAATGAGGCATTGTAAGAAAGTTCTGCTGATATTGCATGCTGACTTAAATAAATGCAGTTTTGACCTCTTAACATTAAGCAGTGGCGCCATCTATTGAACACGTTAAACACAAATTGATTCCATACGAATGGTCTTGCGGGTGTATGATTTTTTGTTTATAACATACAGGAATGAACATTACGAAATAGAAGGCATATATGTAGAACACTGAAATAAATTCTTAAAAACGATCTAAGGTACCTTAGAGAACCTGTAGTCTTCCGTCTAAAAATGATTTTAATACTCTTTGATTATATGTAAAATCCAAAGGAGAAACCTGGAATGAAAATCCTGTGATAAATTAAAACTATTATCAAAACTCAAACTAACAGTTTAGATTCTCTACACAGAGTATTAACAAGAAAATCAATATAGCACGTATGTGTAATAGCACACGTTAAGTGATCAATAATTACTTTACTAACATTATACGTTGTACCAGTAATGGTCACTGCATAACACAAAATGAATAATATATGAATATGCTTTTACCTTCTCTTCCCATCGGGTTCAGAAATAGCGGGAACATGAGGAACAGTTCCTTATACAAAAGGTGTATTTTTATCTATTTTAAATAGCGAGAGTGTTTGATAATGTCCGTTTTTTCGTGTAGCTCTTTCAAAGACTGTTGATC